CAATCTGACCCCACTACGAAGGATATATTTCCCTCCCCATCCTTATCTGCCTTCCGGAGGGACCGCCCTCTCCATGATTCCCTCGTCTGCTCCACACTACCCACTAGCCCCACCACCCCGGCACCTTCCCCTGCAACCGCAGGAGGTACTACACCTGCCCCTACACCTCCCCCCTCAAGTCCATCCCAGGCCCTAAGAAAACCTTCCACATTAAACAGGTGTTCACCTGCACATCTGCTCAGTTCGCGACAAATGACAACACCTCCCAGTCGCGAACCACTTCAACTCCTCCTCCCACTCCCTGGATGACATGTGGGCCTCCTCCAGTGTCACAATGATGGCACCCGAAGGTTGCAGGAACCGCACCTCCTATTCCGCCTTGGAACCCTACAACCCAATAGTCTCAATGTGGACTTTATGAGCTTCAAAGTCTGCCCACCCCAGACCTCATCTCAAGACCAGCAACCCCCCTCGTCCCCGCCTCCTTGACCTGTCCATCTTCCCTCCCACCTATCCACTCCTCCCACCTCACTGACCAACCCCCACCTCCACTTCCTACCTACACTCACCTCTACTAGCTTCAACCCGCCTCCTTGACCTGTCTGTCTCTCCCCCTTCCCCCCCACCAACAAAACTAGGCTGCAGATTGAGAGAGATCCTCAGTCGCTGAAAGTGCGCAGCTGCAGCAGGCAGTAAAGAAGGCAAATGATATGTTAGCCTTTATAGCAAGATGATTAGAGTACAGGAACAAGGATCTATTGCTGCAATTATACAGGACATCTGTGAGGCCAAGCCTGGAATATTTTGTGTGCAGTTTTGCTCTCCTTATCTGAGGAAGGATGCTCTTGCTGTGGAGAGAGTGCAGCAAAAGTTTATCAAATTGATTCCTGGGATGACAGAATTGACACATGAGGAGAGATTGAATCAGTTAGGATGGTAATTTTTGGAGCTTAGAAGAATGAGGGGAAAACCTCATAGAAATCTATAAAATTCTGACAGGACAGATTCAGGATGGTGGGGCGAGTTCAGAACCAGGGGTCATAATTTAAGGATAAGGGGTAAACCTTTTAGAACTGACATGAGAAATTTCTTCAACCAGAGAGTGGTTTGCCTGTGGAATTCACTACCACAAAAAAATGTTTGAAGCCAAAACATCGTTTTCTAGAAGGAGATTATTTATAGGTCTTGTGGCTGAGGGGATCGAGGGATATTAGGGAGGACAGGATGAGAATATTGAGTTCAATGACTAGCCATGATCATGTTGAATGGCAGAGCAGGCTCAAGGGTTTGAATGCCCTTCTCCTGCTCCTATCTTCTATGTTTCCATGTAGTTCAGACTTGCTGTTCCTTGATCTTGCTTCCCTGGGTATTTTTATTTGCTTGTACAAGACACAGAGCTGCTGATTAATAAATTAATGGTTAAAAGCCACAGCCTGACAGTAACTGATGAGAGAAAATAAACTGGCTTTCTTCAGGCATGTGATGATTTTTACTGCAGAGACAGCACCTTCCTTCCCGAAAGTCTAATGGTTTTTGACCAAACATTCACACCCACAAGTTGTTTAGATACGTGGGAACCAATCTAGTTCGTAGGCAGAAGGCTTTTTTCATTGATAATTGGTTGCTATTCTCCATGTTAATAAGCAACTTGCTGCTGGCTGAATCTCAGTTTGTATACACTCCCTGATTCCAGCTTGTCTGGAACTAAACGTCCTCCCCCCTCCACCCCCCGTACCTTCAACAAACAGCAGTGTAAACCGCTGTGTTAGATAATCTGTTTATAGGAAGTTCCCATCATTTTCCATTTCAATCCACAATCAAAAAAAACAGACAAATTTTTAAAGCCCAAGACCCATATATTTGCTAACTATTTTCTTGATTCACACTGCCACCTTCAGAAAAAATTCCAAGATGTTTCTGTTCCTGCACACTTGAGAAGTGTGCTGTTAAAACATATGTTACCTCTCCAAATCGTAGAATCCCTACAATGCAGAAAGAAGCCATTCACCTTATCGAGTTTGCACCAACCCTCTGAAGAGCATCCCACCCATATCTCTCACCCCACATGGGGTTTTTATCATGACTAATCCACCTAATCTGCACATCACAGAACAATTTATAACATGGCCAATCTACCTAACGTCTTTGGACTGTGGGAGGAGTCCGGATGAAATCTCACAGACACGGAGAACATGCAAACACCACACAAACAGTCACCCAAGGCTGGAATCAAATCCGGATGCCTGCTGCTGTGAGACAGCAGTACTACCCACTGTGCCGCCTGCACAGCGTTTTCCACAGGAGGCTACTTCAGACTTCTCTCTATAATGTTTTTCTTGCTGCACCTCCAAAGTTGGTATCATTGGCAAATTTTCAAATTTTACTGTGGGAAATGAGGAGAAGAATCTGTGACAAAGCAAGAGGAGCAAGTCAAGTGAAGATACAGTGATAAGTGGTCAACATCGCTGAGAGGAGTGGATAAGGTGAGGACCATGAGAGAGAAACAGAAAAACTGGCTGAGAACCTGAGTGCGACTTGGGACATAAACAGGAATAAAGTTTTTTTAGTCTATACTCGGGAAGGAGTAAGCTTGAAATTAGAGCAAGGGTCCATATTCTATATAGTTGAGGTATATGTGGGGAGCTCAAGCTTCTGACTTGCACATCCTGCACTAAGTGGGACATTCCACATTCTAATTTCTAAGTCAATTTTCTCTGTTTAATAAAAATAGCAGTCCTAGCACTGATGGTTGAAACAACACTGCACCATTGATCTTCCATTTGGCGAAATGTCATTTATCAAGACCAGCTGCTTTATTTTTTGTTGTTCCTTTAAGATTGTTTTTGTTTTAATCCTCATGGCCATACACTATTCTTCTTCAAGTGCTTACTTTAAGATCTAAAGACAACATCAAATGCACTTTCTCTTAAAAGGGACCTAAGGGGCAACTTTAAGGACCTATAAGGTCCCTTTCTTATAAAAATGGACGATAGCTTCTTTAAATGTACAAAGAGGAAGATAGAGTTAAAGTAAACACAGGCGCCATAGAAAATGAGGCTGGGGATGTAATATTGGGGGAACCAGAAAATGACAGGAGCAAAGCTGGAAATCTAAATGCAACACATCCACTGGTTCCCCTTTACCTGTAGCACAAGTTACTCCTTCAAACAGCCACAAATTGGTTCAATGTGATTTCCCTTTGACAGAACCATGTTGTCTTTGCCTGATTACCTTGAACTTATTTCAGTACACTGTTATTACATAATTAACGATATCTTTTAACATTTTCTTGATGACAGATGTCATGTCCTGCATCCTCTGGTCTTGTATACCTAGTTTTTTTTTCCATTTAAGCTTTAAAATTAACAATGCAAAAACAAGAAGGCAGATTACTCTCTGGCTGTAAATTGGGAGAAGGGAGTGTGCAGCGGGACTTGGGTGTCCTTGTGCACCAGTCGCTGAAGGTAAGCATGCAGGTGCAGCAGGTAATAAAGCAGGCAAATGGTACGTTAGCCTTCATTGCGAAGAGGTTTTGACTACAGCAGCAAGGATGTGTTGTTGGATTTATACAGGGCCTTGGTGATACCACGTCTAGAATATTGTGTGCAGTTTTGGTCTCCTTTTCTGAGGAAGGATGCTCTTGCTCTGGAAGGACTGCAGCGAAAGTTTACCTGGCTGATTCCGGGGATGGCAGGACTGATGTATGAGGAGAGATTGACTAGGTTAGGATTGTTTTCGCTGGAGTTCAGATGAATGAGAGGGGATCTTATAGAGATGTATAAAACTCCAACAGGACTGGACAGGGTAGATGCAGGGAGGATGTTCCCGATGGTGGGTGTGTCCAAAGCCAGGGGTTACAGTCTGAGGATTCAGGGTAAACTATTTAGGACTGAGATGAGGAGACATTTCTTCACCCAAAGAGTGGTGAGCCTGTGGAATTCATTACCACAGGAAGTAGTTGATGTTAAAACATTGAATGTATTCAAGAGGTGGCAAAAAATCGCACTTGGGGCGAACAGGAAAGGTTATGGGGAGAAAACAGGATTAGGCTATTGATTTGGAAGATCAGCCATGATTGTGACAACCGGTGGAGGAAGCTCAAAGGGCCGAAGGGCCATCTCCTGCTCCTATCTTCTATGTTTCTATGTTTCTCTTGATCTTGTCTCAAGTGTTGTTTGTAGGAGAGTCTTAACTATTTCTTTTGTTAAATATCTATGATTTGTCTTTAGGAGTAAATGCTTTAGGCTAAAGATAGAAATGCTTAAGTGCAAATGAAAAACCTGATTTAAGAACTGGTTTAAAATAGCCTAAAATAATTGCAAATCAAAGCTGGCTTAATTTCCAATTCTTCTGAATATGATCTTATAAAGCAACAGAATACCTCACTGAAGCTCTCAGTGGAGATGGAATGTCTGCGGCTTTCTTGATAAGGGGTTAAAACCGTTTTATTTCCAAGAAACAAATGGGAGATTTGGGAATTCGCTATTTCACAAAAAATCTTTTGTTCATAACAAAGCATTTTCTTCTTACCAGACAGAAGCTTTGAAAGGCTATTCTACACTTAAATGCACTCTAAATATAACTTCATATGGTCTCATCTCCTTACATTAAACATTTCTTCAGTTTGATATTGTTACTAGCTCATGGTTTTAGAGTGCTAGTGTGTATGTTCCTATCCAAATGACCTTGCCTGATCTCTGCTATGGCAGTAAATCTGATGTATAAGTAGATTTTCAGCTTTGTGAGTTTGAAGTTTGCTGCATGGTTGTGCATTAACATTTTGTAATAGATCATCAATCAATAAATGATTTAGAGGCTACTGTGTGGGGAATGAGGGCTTATGCTAATTAAGGACACACTGTAAATGAATTGTCAGATTGCATTGCTGGACAGTACAGATTATTGGACACACTGATTACCGAGTGACTAAGAGAAAGTCTTCACGAGAATATTCTGTTTGTTCTTTTGTATTCATTTAAATTATGCTTTTGTTGTTTCAGGGATAGAGACTGGAGGAGTGATTTTAAAAGATCCACCAAATGTGTCTGAAATACAGACATCTGCTCCAGTCACTCTGCGCTGTCACATCGATGGACACCCCCGGTAAGAGAATGCTTCCTTTGGTTCCAATGGCTCTGGTGTGGTATAGGCAACAAACCAATTTGGGTAAGAGTCAGTATTTTCAAGTGGAAGATCAATGATAGTCAGAGTCATAGAGAGGTACAGCACGAGAACAGACCCTTTGGGCCAACTTGTCCTTGCCAACTAGATAGCCCAAATAAATCTAGTCCGATTTGCCAGCATTTGGCCCATATCCCTCTCAACCCTTCCTATTCATATACCCATTCAGGTGCCTTTTAAATGTTGTAATTGTACCAGCCTCCACCACTTCTACAGACAGCTGATTCCATACACTCAATACCCTCTGTGTGGAAAAAGTTGCTCCTTGGGTCCCTTTTTAAATCTTTCCCCCCTCACCTTAAACCTATGCCATCTAGTTTTGGACTCAGTCCCCCACTCTCCAGGGAAAAGACCTTGCCTATTTACCCTATCTATGCCCCTCATGATTTTATAAACCTCTATAAGATCACCCCTCAGCCTCTGACACTCCAGGGAAAATAGCCCAAACCTAGTCAGCCTCTCCCTGTAGCTCAAACCTTCCAACCCTGGCAACATCCTTGTAAACCTTTTCTGGACCCTTTCAAGTTTCACAACATCCTCCCTGTAGCAGAGACACTAGAATTGCAGGCAGTTTTCCAAAAGCGGCCTAACCAATGTCGTGTAGAGCTGCAACATGATCTCCCAATACCTATACTCAATGCACTGACTAATAAAGGCAAGCATACCACACACCACCTCCACTATCCTGTCTACGTGGGATTTCACTTTCAAGGAACTATGAACCTGCATTCCGAGGTCTCTTTGTTCAGCAACACTCCCCAGGACCTTACCATGTCCTGCGTGATTTGGCTTTCCAAAATGCAGCACCTCACATTTATCTAAATTAAACTCCATTGCCACTCCTCAGCCCATTGACCCATCTGATCAAAATCCTGTTGTACTCTGAAGTAATCTCCTTTGCTGTCCACTATGCCTCCAATTTTAGTGTCATCTACAAACTTAGTAACCATCCTTCCTATGTTCACATCCAAATCGTTCACATGAATGACAAAAAGCTGTGGACCCTGTACCAATCCTTGTGGCACACCACTGGTCACAGGCCTCCAGTCTGAAAAACAACCCTCCACCCTATCCAAATGGCTAGTTCTCCCTGTGTTCCATGTGATCTAACCTTGCTAACCAGTCTACCTTGAGGAACCATGTCGAAAACCTTACTGAAGTCCGTATAGATCACATCAAGCACTCTGCCCTCATCAATCCTCTTTGTTACTTCTTCAAAAAGCTCAATATAATGTTCAAAGTAAAGCAAGAAGAGTTGTCATAGTCTTAGTAGATCATAGGGCTGTGCTGTCATTAGAATGAGATGAATGGTGGTGGTTTAACGTTGCTGTTTTTTATCAACTACAGACAGTTACCTTGACAAACCAAAACAAATGTAAATTAGTCATTGTTAGCTCCAAAATAGGGATTAATTTTCACAGCAGCGTTCAAACATCTGACAAGTGAAGTTACACAGTAAAATGCTGAATAATGTTTAATATAATGTTGCAAGTTACTTCCTAGCCACAATGGCCTGCTGATTTGATCGTTGCTTATCAGCTGAAGGCTCTACTTTCCTTTCAATTTTTCAAAACTGTAATGTCACTCATTTTGTGATCAGTTTATTTTGTAGTATTTTTTCTGTGTATTCATAAGACAGTAAGAAATAAGAACAGGTGTAGCCCCTTGAAGCTGCTCTACCATTCAATAGGATCATGGCTAACCGAATGTTCCTTATGTCTGCTTTCCTGCCCTTTCCCTGTAACTTTCAATTCCCCTACTCACAGCTGTCTGTGACAAGGTGTTTCAAAGAGACTCAATTCTCGGAAGAAATTACTTCTCATTTCAGTCTGAAATTGGTGCTGTTTTTTCTGAGACTATGTCCCCTGGTTCCAGACTCTTCCATGAGGGGAAACATCCTCTCAGCATTTACCCTATGAAGCCCCTTAAGAATTTCATATGTTTTAAGGAGATCGCCTCTCATTCTTCTAAATCCCAACCTGTTAACCTTTTTATTCAAAGGACAATCCCTCCAGACCAGGGATTGTCCTAGTGAATCTTTTTAGTGTCAACTTCAAATTTGCCTATAGTACGTTTTATCCTTGCATTCAAGTCATAAATATAGATTGTAAATAATAGGGGCTTGAGGACCAAACCCTGAGCACCTGATGGTTACATTGTGCCAACCGGAAAAAGAACCTGACTCTCTGCTTTCTCTTTGTCAGCCAATCATCTATCCAAGCAAAGAAGTTACCCATAGCCCTTATGATCTTATCTTGTTTATTAACCTTTCATGGAAGGAGACAGAGGGTAGTGGTAAAGGGTTATTGTTTAGACTGGAAGCCTGTAACCAGCAGTGTGCCACCAAGGATTGGTGCTCGGTCTACTGTTAGTTTATACAAATGACAAATATTTGGATGAGAATATAGAATACATGGTCAGTCAGTTTATGGATGACACCAAAATTGGTGGTTTAGTGGACAGTGAAGGTTATCTAAGAGTACAACAGGATCTTGATCAACTGGCCCAATGGGCCCAGGAATGTCAAATGGAGTTTAATTTAGATAAATGCGAGGTGTTACATTTTGGTAAGACAAAACAGGGGAAGACTTGCACAGTTAATGGTAGGGCCCTGAGACATGTTGGTGAACAGAGAGCCCTAGAGGTGCAGGTACATAGTTCCTTGAAAGTGGCATAACAGGTAGACAGAGTGGTGAAGAATTTGGTATGCTTGCCTTCACTTATAGCGTTGAGTACAAGAGTTCGGATGTTATGCTGTGGCTGTACAAGACATTGGTAAGGTCACGTTCGGAGTACTACATAAAATTCTGTTTGTCCAGAAGGTGTGTATATGGAACAAGCTACCAGAGGGAGTGTTAGAGCATTTAAGACATTTGGACAGGTACATGGATAGGAAAGGTTTAGAGGGATAGGGCCAAATGCAGGCAAATGGGATTAGTTCAGTTTAGGAAATCTGGTTGGCATGGATGAGTTGGGCCGAAGGGTCTGTTTCTTTGCTGTACGACTCTATGCTTCAACTTATCAAATGTCTTCTTGAAGTCCAGATATATTACATACAGAGAATTTCCATCACCTAAATGGTTTGTTATGTCTTCAAAGAATTCTAGCAAATTAGTCAAACTCAATTTACCATTTGTAAAACTATGCTGACTCTGATGGATTGCATTTGACTTTCCGAATGTCCTTTTATTACTTCCTTAATAATAGATTTTAAAACTTGCCCAATGACACGTGTTAAGCTAACTGGTCTGTAGTTTCCTACTTTCTGCCTCCCTCCATTTTTGAATAAGACTGCATGCAGGAAACTTTCAAAATCTGTAACCCATAGATCTGTTATTTCTGTTACCTTCCTTTGAGAAGGAAGTGTTCTAAGTTACATGGAATAGTACAGCACAAGAATGGGCCCTTCGACCCATGATATTGTGCCAAACATGATGCCAAATTAAACTAATCCCTTCTACCTGCCCTTAGTCCATGTCCCTCGATTCCTTGCATATTCATGTGCTTATCTAAAAGCTCCTTTTAAATGGCCCCATCCCTGGCAGCATGTTCCAGACTCCTACCACTCTCCGTAACAAAAAAAAGTCTTGCCCCTCACAACTCCTTTGAACTTTCCCACTCTCCCTTAAATGCATGCCCCTTAGTATTAGACATTTCAACTCTTGGGGGAACAGGATTCTGACCGCCGACCCTATCAATGCATCTCATAATTTTATAGACTTCTTTCAAGTCTCCCCTCAACCTCCGCCGCTCCAGAGAAAGCATTCCGAGTTTTTCTAGCCTTTCCTTAGAGCTCATACTCTCTAATCCAGGAGCATCCTGGTAAACCTCTTTTGCACCCTCTCCAAAGTCCTTGTTGTAATGTGACAAACAGAATTTCATGCAATATTTTAAGTGCAGCCTAACTGAAGTCTTACGAAGTTGCAACATGACATCCTGACTCACGTACTCAATTCCCTGATGTTAAGCAAAACACAATGTATTTTAACTTTAGTGTTTAAATAAAATCAAAGAAAGAGGAATTTAGAATAACAATTCCATTGGAAACTCATCAGAAGAATAGATATTTAAAGTTTGAGAAGATTTGAACCTCAGGTTGTGGATGAGGTTGTAGACATGCTCGCTGAGCCAGTGGGTTTGGTTGCAAACGTTTTGTCACCCTGCTAGGTAACATTGCCAGTGTGCCTTTGGTGTTCTGTCCCGCTTGTTACTTATATACCTCCGTTTGTTGGGGTGTTTGTTACCACTTCTGGTTCTATTTCTCAGTGGTTTGTACACAGGGTCTAATTCAATGTGTTTGTTGATGGCGTTCCTGTTAGAATACCAGGCCTCTAGGAATTCCTTGGCGTGTCTGTTTGGCTTGTGCGATTATCGATGTGTTGTCCCAGTTGAAGTTGTGTCCCTCTTCGTCCATTTGTAGTGAGACAAATGAGAATTGGTCGCGTCTCTTGGCTAGTTGGTGTTCATGTATCCGAATTGTCAGTTTTCTTCCAGTTTGGTAGAGGTAGTGTTTCTCACAGTCCTTGCGTGATATTTTGTATATTACACCAGTTTTGCTGGTTTCCGGTATGGGATCCTTTTATGTTCATCAGTAGCTGCCGTAGGGTGGTTGGTTTATGGGCTACTTTGATACCTAGGGGTCTGAGTAGTCTTGTGGTCATCTCTAAAATGTCCTTGATGTATGGTAGGGTGATGAGTGATTCTGGTCGTGTTGTGTCTTCCTGTTGTGGTCTGTCTCGGAGGTAATGATGGATTGTGCTTTTCAGGTATCCATTCCTTTTGAAGACTCCGTATAGGTGCTCCTATTCTGCTTTGCGTAGTTCCGGGTTGCTATGTAGGAGCATCTATAAGTTTGCAACCAAACCCGCTGGCTCGGCAAGCATGTCTACAACCTCAATAATAGATATAGTAACTATTACTATTTAACTTTTCCAATATAGTAACATCCCATAAATACATGCCTTGGCAAAAAAGGAAAATTCAGATAGATTCTCATGTGCAGTCCTCCAATCCAGGAGGAAAGGACACCAAGGGAAAATTTGGAGAGAGTAGCAGCCAGGAGACATTCACCGAAGCTTCTGAAGCTAGTGGAGAAAATATAACCCAGAAGTCTGCATCTGTGAGAACTGGTCACCCCCAATCAGGCTGTTTTATTAAAAATAAAACCAAGGCCTCGCAAGCTGTTTACTCAAGTGTTCTTCGGTAGCAAGTTCAATACCTCTGCTTTACAACCTCTCTTCAAAAAAAGAAGCCAGGACAAAATAACCTCTTATGGTACCACCCTTTGTCTTTATTATAACATTATGGCACTGCACAGTCCATATTTCCTCCTTGAATGTGTCCAGAGACAGATTTAACTAAAAGTATCTGCTCCAAGTCCACTCTAGCTAAATCATATCTGACCTTTTATTAAAATCAGCCTTCTGCCAGTTTAGAACTTTGATTTCAGTCCTTTTCTTGTCCCTTTCCAACAGCTATCAAACAACAAATTTGTACTTAAAACAGAAAACTTAACAATTTATTATTATAATATCTATGACTTAAGCCCAGTCTTTAAACACCACAGTCAGTCTCTCAGATGGACAGGCAGACACAGTTGAGGAGTGTATTCAAAGAAAAATAAAGGATTGTTATTTGCCAGCTCAATGGTTTCATGATGGGTATTTGCTCTTCAGAAATCCTTGAACGATGCAATGTAATCCAGACACGTAGGATTGTATCTTGCTTGAATTCTGAGTCACTGATTCATGCAAGCAACTTCTGCAGACAATGGGAGACTTTCATTTATATCTTACCGATTGGGGTTCTTTAAACAATTCTTTTAACAAGGTATGAAATCAGAGAATAAAATGAAACAGCTTCCAGTCTAGCAGCTTCCCTGCTGTCTTCTGCCCAAAACCTAGGCGAAACCAGTTGAAACTATGGTTTCTCTTTCATTTTCAATATGCTCTGTTTGGCTGGCCAGTGCCATTATGCCCTTAATTGACCCATTCAACGTCCAACCAGCTCCCAGTCCCTGTGCAATGCATCTCAGTGCCACAAAAAGTCTGTATTGTTCTGGGAGTGGCAACCAAGCTGCAATTATCTCTTTGGATGAGTTCCCAGACACATCAGTTTTTGTTTTCTGCTGCTCGCAAGTCAAAATTTAACTTCAATTCTCAGTTCCAAACCAAAACTGAGAATAATGAAGGTTTCAACAACTTCCAGTTTGGAGGTTGGTGTTAGAATAAGGTAAAGTTAAAATTTGTCATAGTCTTACCAGACCACAGGGTTGCACTGTCATTAGAACGAGACGGCTGGTGGTGATTTAGCCTTGGGGTCACCACACCTCAAGCGAGGTGAAAAGGGAAACCCTTCAAGGTAACCTCAGTTGGTGCAGGAATTGAACAATTCCGAAGAGAGCAAGGATAAACCAGGAAATAATAAGACAGTCAGTCTAACCGCAGGTGATGGGAAACTATTGGAAGTAATTCTAAGGGTCAGAGTTAACGTGCATTTGAAGAGGCAGGGATTAATTGAGAACCGGCAGCATTGTTTTGTTAAGGGAGATCACGTCTGCCCACCTTGATTGGACTTTTTCAAAGAGGTGACCAGATGTGTAGATGAGAGTACTACTTTTGATGTCATCAATTTCAAGAAATTGAAATGATGGCATCATTTTACAATGTAAACCAGCCTTTCAGCCAGCTGAACTAAACCAACTTGCGGTGTTAGAATGTGGACATGTTGACAAGTGGGTTTGGATCATTATTGTTAAAGTGGAAGGTGTTGAGACTTTCAGGCAAGTAATCCGACCACACAGAGCAAGTCATGGTGTTGGGAATTAGTTCTTAGTGTTCCTAAGATGCAGAAACTGAACCCATAACATATACAGGTGATGTCATCAAGGCAACCTGTAGACCAGGAGTAGAAGAAAAGACAAATTAGACCTTGGCCATATGAATATTGACACTGGCATGAAAAGCAAGCAAAATTCCTATCGTGAAAGTGATTTGCAGTAATGACATAGAACAAGCCAGCTAGTCAGGTCAAATTATGTGGAGAGATCAAGACTA